TGGCAGAACCATACAGGAACAGGGTGCCAGATTTCTATGAGTGATAATCACCAGTTCTAATGAAGTAACAAAAGGAAGTCTTTTTATTTCAGATGTGTTGTAGATGTAAATATTTTAAGTCTTTTATACTTTTTCTGAACCCAGTAAAACTGGTTTATAAGTCTGTGTTATTTAGTGTTACTCATCTTTTAATTAATAGGATAGCAAGTTATTTTCACAGGAAATCAATGCTTATAATAATACCTTGCATTTAACTTAACAGGGTAAATCTTATTATCCTCATTTTGTCAGTAACATTTTTCAGCCTGAAGGGTTAAAAGTCACTGAGGTCTAGTTAAAAATGGGAAAACCTAAAATAATTGTCTCACCAACTACAAAATTGCAGGGAGGACCATGCAATTCAGTTACATGCTCTGATGTTAACATGTTATTCATGCATAAGACCAGTGGCCCAGCCTGAGTTGGTTGGTAGTCAGGATCTTCATCCTAGCCTAACAGACTGAATTTTTATTTATTAGTGTTTTTTATTCCATCATAGTACCTACTTCAATATACTTTTGTAAAGTTTATTTGACCATTTATACTATTTGTGAGGAGGAGTAACTTTTCCTCCTAATCAGTCTTGAGCCAATACTTAAGTTAAATACAATAAAAATAAACTGACTAAAAAAAATTATCATGCCTTTAGTTGTTGCAGCAGTGTCCAGTTGTCCTAAATTTTTCGTATGGTTATTTTGTTGCAGATGGGTTAAAAAAAAAGGCCATCCAACTGACACTGGTCCGTTTTTGAATAGCAATATAGACCACTCATAGAGGTCATTACCTTCACAGAAGGGTCTTAAACCAGTGTTTCAGAATCACAGCACCAATCCATACTTAATTCTATCACAAAGATCTTCCGAAAAATAACTTGGCCTTTCTTTTTTCCCTTGAATGCTTTCTAACTCCCATCAACCAGGTTAGGCAAAAAAACTGCTAGCCATTCTTAGCATCCAGTTTGCATGCTTGTTAGGTTGCCTAAGATCAGCTTTGTTTCTTATTGCAGCCTCTCCATTTATAAATGTAATAAATCAGATAATTTTGATCAAGTTGATAATGACTTTTTGGTTTTTGAGACAGAGTCTTGCTCTGTTTCCCAGGCCGAAGTACAGTGGTATTGTCATGGCTCACTGCAGCTTCAACCTCCTGGGTTCAAGCAATCCTTCCATCTCAAACTCTCAAGTAACTAAGACTATAGGCATGTACCACCACACTTGACTCGTTTTTTAATTTATGTAAATAGAAGGTCTTGCCATGTTGCCCAGGGCTTAAGCCATCTTCCCGCCTTGGCCTTCTTAAGTGTTAAGATTACAGGTATGAGCCACAACGCCCAGCCGCTGATGACTTCTTTGGAAAGAACATCTGTGGTGTTATCAAGGGGACTCTAGTTCAGTGTTATGGAGCTATGTGCCCTGTTCTTAAGTATATTTGTTTGCAAATATGCTATGTTGTATATCTGTGTATATATAAATTGCTGTTCTATTTCCACTATAAATGAAGCTTCTCTTTTATGATTCAGGAACTAGCAAAATTCTAAATCATACTTACCTGGACCTCTTTCACCAAAAGCAAGTGGTTTAACGTAACTGACTCCATTTTAGCAGAGACAGCAACTGCCCACTAAAAGGCAGCGGTTTTAGAAATAGCAGCGGGCATTGTGGTGGTCCAGGAGAAACCATATGGGACTGCTCTGTACTACTGGGACAGGGAAGACAGAAGGATAATGAAAATGAGATGCCTCAAGTGGGACTGATCAGTTGCTATGGTTTCTGGGCTGCATTTTATTACCAGAGGCTGCCAGTTGTGTAAGTACATCATTGACATGTAGATTTAGGTATAGCCTACCTTGGAAGAACCTGGGGGAAGATACCATTGTACTTGCTCAGATTGGGGCTCAGCCTGAGAAATTAATCTGTAGTGAAAGCCTCCATAAAAGTACACTACTGTAATCCCAGCACTTCGGGAGGCTGAGGCGGGTGGATCACGAGGTCAAGAGATCGAGACCATCCTGGTCAACATGGTGAAACCCCGTCTCTACTAAAATACAAAAAATTAGGTGGGCATGGTGGCATGTGCCTGTAATCCCAGCTACTCAGGAGGCTGAGGCAGGAGAATTGCCTGAACCTAGGAGGCGGAGGTTGTGGTGAGCCGAGATCACGCCATTGCACTCCAGCCTGGGTAACAAGAGCAAAACTCTGTCTCAAAAAAAAAAAAAGAACACTAAAGAGAGTAGATTTGATGGTAAAAGAAAGATGGTACACAAGAGGACATTACAACACTAGGAAAGACTTCCTCAGAAGTCCTGCTCCTTACTACTGCAAATTCAATGGGCTCACCTGGGAAATGGCATCACGGAATGACAGCCACTGAGTGCTGTGGACACACTCTGAACTTAGAGTCAGAATTTCTGTGTTCAACTTCTGGGCCTCAAATTAGCATCTTGGCGACCTTAACAGCCTATCTTAGCTTTCTTCTCTTATTTCTCATCTGTTCTCTGAGCTCTGGAAATTATGATAGGGGTCAAATGAGAGTATCGATTTAAAATCACAATTTATTTCTCTATTTACCTATAGCACCAACACTCTTCCCTGTTACCCCTATTCCAAAAACATCTGCGTCTGTGTTTGATACTTTTCATAGGAATGGACACCCACATGCACGTACTTATATATATTCTTTATGGAAAATGATAGGGTGGTAAGAGTAAGCCTTATAAAGGGGAGCACATAACTATCAGAGCTTTTTAAAAAAAGTAGTTCTTATAAATGACAAATACCCACTTAATCAAACTAGCCGTGATGATTCAGACATTATGATAGTGTTTCAGAGAGAATTTTATGACCACATGTTGGGGAAAGACTTTGCCCTTGCAAAAGCAGTACAGATCCCTTATGCCTCTCGTCATGCGTCCCCTAGAGTAATATCCTACATAATCAAAGCACAATGGTTGAAACTGGAAAATTCTGATGGGTATAATACTATTAAGTAATCTAGAGACTTTATTCTGATATTGCTAGTTTTCCCACTAATGTCTTTTTCCAAATCTAGAATCACACAATTATGTTTTATTAGTCCTCTCTAATCTGGAACCATTCTTTATTTAAAAAAAAAATACATATTTCCTGAACTTTCTACTTTGTAGGGTACTATCCACTCTTTCATAGAATGCCCCTCAATTTTGGTTTGCCTGATGATTTCTGATGATCAAGTTGAGGTTATAAATTTTTATGTGTAAAAATTCTCATGCTGCTAATAAAGACATACCTGAGACTGGGTAATTTATAAAGAGTATTAATTGACTCACAGTTCCACATGGCTCAGGAGGCCCCACAAGCATGGTGGAAGGTAAAGGTGGAGCAGAGTCACATCTTACACGGCAGCAAGCAAGAGCATGTGCAGGGGAACTCCCCTTTATAAAACCATCAGATCTCATGATATTTAATCACTATCATAAGAACAGCACAGGAAAGACCCACCCCCATGATTCAGTTACTTCCCACCAGTTCCCTTCCATGACATGTGGGGATTATGGGAGCTACAATTCAAGAAGAGATTTGGGTGGGCACACAGCCAAACCATATCATTAAAATTATGTCACAAAAGTTATGTGTGCCCTTCTTAGTGGGTCCTAACAAGTAAGACATGATGGCCTGATTTCCACTGGCAGTGGTAACTTCGATCACCCTTTTAAGTTAGGGTCTGTTAGGTTTTCCATGATAATGTTATGATTTTCCCTTTGTAATTAATAAGTATCTTGTCATTTTATTTTTAAGAAGTTTTATGCTTTTTCAAATTCATGGTCAGTATTTGGGCAAATGTCATTCACAGAGGCATGCAAAATGTGCTGTCCTGATGGGAAGAAATGGTGCCCTAGAAAGTGATGGAGTCATTATTTAAGTGTTTGAATAGATTTCTCTCAATCCATGCTGAAATGGATTGCCTGACATTACATTGCAGGATTTTAAAGTCCTACCTCCAGGCAAATCTCATAGTTACTAGCAAAAATGAAAGTGTGAAATGCTTTTTAATGTATATTTAACAACACATAGTCTGGTGATTACTGATGTGTATTCTCTGTGGACTCCCTTTGCTATCAGAGGAGGATGCTGAGAGACAACTTTTTACACATTTATTCTATCTAAATCCATCACATGTTTACTTTTTAAATATCTATGACTGTCATTTATAACAAGATCATAAAAAGTCAAATACATTAAGTCTAACTCAAACTTTGAATCATAGGATTACAACCAATTTTCAGGAAAAGTACAATTACCTTTTATGAGTGATGTTTTTCTTACTTTTCCTTATGAAATTGCCTGCTATTAAATGATACTAAAATATAGGCATTCCAAAAAAAATAAAGATAAGATACAGTTTAGTAACTAGATATGAGGGGTAATGCTACTTTATTCATCTTTTTGATTCAGAAATTCACATAACTCCTACTTAAAGGAATTCTCATCATTGAATCCAGTGTCATGTCTGCTTATGTTGAAGCAGTAAATTTCACAAAATGTACTTAATTCCTTCCTGTAGTATCACTATTTAATAAGGACCAAGGTATCATTTTTTTTTTCATTTATATTGGATTTCACAGCAAGGGTTCACGTCTTATACTAATATATGCTAAAATAGTTGTATAGTATATAGAACATTGTTGTTAAAAAAGCAGTACTGAAGGCATTTTAGATCACAGATCCCCAGTGGTCTCCATTTTGTTTTCTTTGACATTATTAAACTCAGTCTGTTTCTCTAACTGTGACTCTAATTACTACATTTGCATGGCAGAAAAGTTTGCTTTGTGGGTTGACTTTTATTAACAATGCTTGCATGTTGTTTTCTGCTCTTGCTCTCAGTGTTTTATGAGCACACAGAGCACCTTCAGTTGCATTGAATAATTATGCACAATCAATAAGTTTTTGTGTTTGTCTTTGTTATTTCTTTGATGTGGCCTCTAGGATGCTGCTGGCAAGGTCCTGGACCGCTGGGCCATCATGTCTCGAGAAGAGGAAATCATCACCCTTCAGCAGTTTCTGCGGTTTGGAGAAACCAAATCCATTGTGGAGCTGATGGCAATTCAGGAGAAAGAAGGGCAGGCCGTGGCTGTACCATCTTCAAAGACAGACTCAGATATAAGGACTTTCATTGAGAGCAATAATCGTACCAGGAGTCCCAGCCTCCTTGCTCACTTAGAGAACAGCAATCCTTCCAGCATTCATCACTTCGAAAACATCCCAAACAGCCTTGCATTTCTGCTTCCATTCCAGTACATAAACCCTGTCTCAGCACCACTTCTAGGGTTGCCTCCAAACGGGCTACTGTTAGAGCAACCAGGGTTGAGGCTGCGGGAACCCAGCCTTTCAACCCAGAACGAATATAATGAGAGCAGCGAATCTGAAGTTTCTCCCACACCTTATAAGAATGATCAAACGCCCAATAGAAATGCCCTGACCAGCATCACTAATGTGGAACCCAAAACCGAGCCAGCCTGTGTCTCTCCCATTCAGAATTCTGCCCCAGTCAGTGATCTAACCAAAACTGAACACCCAAAAAGCTCATTCCGGATTCATCGGATGAGAAGGATGGGGTCAGCCTCTAGGAAAGGAAGAGTGTTCTGTAATGCATGTGGGAAAACATTCTATGACAAAGGTACTCTCAAAATTCATTATAATGCTGTTCACCTGAAGATCAAACATCGATGCACCATAGAAGGTTGCAATATGGTCTTTAGCTCCCTCCGAAGTCGTAATCGCCACAGTGCAAACCCCAACCCCCGCCTTCACATGCCTATGCTAAGGAATAACCGAGACAAAGATTTAATTCGGGGCACCTCAGGAGCTGCCACCCCAGTCATAGCAAGTACAAAATCAAATCTGGCACTCACAAGTCCTGGCCGGCCCCCAATGGGTTTTACCACTCCCCCTCTAGACCCTGTCTTGCAAAATCCTCTCCCTAGCCAGCTGGTATTTTCTGGGCTAAAGACTGTACAACCAGTTCCTCCATTTTATAGAAGTTTACTCACTCCAGGAGAAATGGTGAGTCCTCCAACCTCCCTCCCAACCAGTCCCATCATTCCAACCAGTGGTACCATAGAGCAGCACCCCCCACCACCCTCTGAGCCAGTAATGCCAGCAGTGATGATGGCCACCCATGAGCCCAGTGCTGACCTGGCACCCAAGAAAAAGCCCAGGAAATCAAGCATGCCTGTGAAGATTGAGAAGGAAATTATTGATACTGCCGATGAGTTTGATGATGAAGATGATGACCCCAATGATGGTGGAGCTGTGGTCAATGACATGAGCCATGACAATCATTGTCACTCCCAAGAGGAGATGAGCCCAGGCATGTCTGTGAAGGACTTTTCCAAGCATAACAGGACCCGGTGCATTTCAAGGACTGAAATAAGAAGGGCCGACAGCATGACTTCTGAAGACCAAGAGCCTGAGCGGGACTATGAGAATGAGTCTGAGTCTTCAGAGCCCAAAATGGGTGAGGAATCCATGGAAGGGGATGAGCACATTCACAGCGAAGTGAGTGAAAAAGTCCTGATGAACAGCGAGAGGCCCGACGAGAACCACAGTGAGCCCTCTCACCAGGACGTCATCAAGGTGAAGGAAGAATTCACAGATCCCACTTATGACATGTTTTACATGAGCCAGTATGGACTGTACAACGGTGGGGGGGCCAGTATGGCCGCCCTGCACGAGAGCTTTACATCGTCTCTGAGTTACGGCAGTCCTCAAAAGTTCTCCCCAGAAGGTGACCTGTGTTCTAGCCCAGACCCCAAAATATGTTATGTGTGCAAGAAGAGTTTCAAAAGCTCCTACAGTGTGAAACTTCACTACAGGAATGTTCACTTAAAAGAGATGCATGTCTGCACAGTGGCTGGTTGCAATGCTGCGTTCCCCTCTCGCCGAAGCAGAGACAGGTCAGTAAATCTCCTTTGGCTGCTCCTGCTGGGGGTGGAGGGTGCCAGTTTTCAGTCATGTTGGACTTCACACTAAAAGAAATCCAACTTAGATGTTTTTGATGCACTGTAAAGATTGTCCACAGTGACCACGTGATAACTAGGCTGCCATGCTCATGAAGGATTGTTGCGGTTGGTGCTTGTGTTGATGAAGCATGCAGAATCATGTGCCATCTTTCCCATAATGCACGCCATTTTTTTCTGTGCTCTGTGTATATGTGTATGTTTGTGTTTTCATGCATCTAGGTGTGAATAAGTTAACTGTGTACACGGTTCCCTGCTTCCCCATGAACCTTCACTTAGAAGCCGCAGCTTCTGTTATATATAGATTTATATATTTATATTTCTGCTTTGCCATGTGGCTTTTTAATTAAATCAGTATATTATCTTCATACACACATATTTATCCAATATAGAAACAGAAATTTACGGATGGAAAGAACCATAGGTCCAGGACATCGAGACAGCCTGCATCTCCGTAGGTATAACCAGTAATGTTATCATTCCTTACATGAGTATTTAGTTTGTCCTTGAATTCTTTAAGAGTCATGAAAATATCAGAAGGAAATGGGACAGATGTAATTGTTGATGTGGGAAAATGGTATGGTGGTGTGGGTTTCTTCATTTTAACTTCGTAATGTCTTTGAGCACATCTCTATAAACTATAGTCTACCATGGGGATTATGCACAGAAGGGGAGGCATGCATATACTTTGAGGATCAGCTCGAATATATTATGTCCAGCCTTCAGATGACATCACATTCTTGCTATGTAGTTGCAGCTCTAAAACAGTTGGGCTTAAACAGAAGCAGCTGGTCCTCAACCTATAAGGTTCTCTATTAATCTCCAAGAAAATGTAATATAAATGGAATGTGTCAAGGTGATCAGCAGCAGGATAGCGCAGTTATCCTGCATTTGTTGAGATAAGCTTGTGAGCAGATCATTTACGTAATATACCACCAGCCCAACTCAGGTCACACACCAGTTAGTTCTTCCCATTATATCAGATGCAGTTTTTGGTTCTACATTGTCTTAAAAGTATTTTAGAGAAAATTTTATTACATGGTAGAAATTAATGGAAGAAACACATTAAAATTAACTAAAGAATTTCCACAGAACCACCACTAATAAGCAGTCATTCTAGTGCTTATCAATTGGATAGAGTTCTTTGGCAAAGTAACATTAAAAGTACCACTGAAAAGTAGTGTCCTGTCTCTGGGATATTCTGTTTTGTCTTCATATTTGGAGATCAATCCTTTTTTAAATAAAAGTTTGAGGAATATTTTTTCCTTTCTACTGAAATAAAAGGGCCCCAATCTTTGAAAAGGAAAATCTTTAAGAAAAATAAGTAGCTCTCCTATACAACCCAAAACATGCACTGAGGAGAAACAACTTTTTAAGGATTTTCCATCCTCATTTACTTTGTTCTGTAAAAATGGTTCAGACACAACGTTATTTCAGTTCCAAGTTGTCATTGACAGTCCCAGAATATATCAGATAAGATAGCTATGTTTTGAATAATAAAATACTTTACCCAACTTCCCTCAAGTTTGTGAGTAATACTCATTCTTTTAAATTTGAAATAGTACACTACTGATAATGAGGTTAATGCATTGCATTTTTTTAAACAAAAATAAAAGACTCATGAAAACCTGCATAAAATATTTATGGAAATGGAGTGTTTGAAGGCAAGCCAAAATTTGAGCTTAATTGCATGAATTCCTATCACAGTTTTAGTTGGGTTTGCTGAAAATATTGCAAGTCATACCACTGGAATAAATAGCTGGGAGACCAAAAGGCTACACACCCGAAGTCTGAAGCCTTCATTTATGTACAGTTACTAGAAAAACACAAGTGCTTGTATGTTTGTATCTTAACACATAGGGAGGCACTGTTGAGGTACTGCTTATTGATTTGAATGAGGCAAAACATTTATTGATAGCAGGAAAATATTTCAGACTTCATTTGTATTGTAAGTGTCAGGAGCTTAGTGCGTGACTAATCATGTTGAAGTTTAGACCCATATCTAGGATGACAAGATATTCTAGGTGTGAAGAAGAGTACAGATGTGCTCTCAGGGGTGTTCAGTCACGCAGAAGGTAGCAAACTTCAGAAGACAGTTGATAGATTTCATTTGGGTGAAATCACAATATGCCCAATCTTTTTCATTTTGGAGTTCTGTCACATAAGATAAATGAAAAAGCAAACTGCAAAAATTGTAGATGAAAAACTTTTTTTATTCTCACTTGAAATTTTGCTTTTTAACAATATACAACTCTTTCAATACTAGGTTACAAACACACAAGTTCTGATACTTCAATTTTGACATTATATTTTCTTAAGAAAAGTGTTCATCTATGACTTGAATTAATGTAATGTTATGAGTTTAGCTACACCAAATAACCAGTAATGCCATTGGGGTACCTCCCTCTTCCTGCATCTCAGCAGAGTAAACTGTGAAACATAACTGTATTCCTGTTTTAGCCTTTTATTGTCATTTCGTCGATGAATGTCAGCCTGTGATTTAATCTCATTAGTCACAAAGCCTCTTGGATCTCTGATCTATCTCTTAGGCTTACCTTCTCCTGTCTCTTCATTTTTACTTTATTAATCATGAGAACCCCAGGAAGTTTGTGTCCCTATTTTTTCCTTTTCAATTTGCTGTGAAGCTAAGACATGTTTTCTTACCTTTTTCTTGAGCCAACAGACCTTCTCAAACAGAAACCCTCCTTTGTCTTTAATCCTGCTGTCCTCAGGCCCATTTCTTTCCTCTCCCCCGAGTCTCAATTTCGTCCATCCTTGACTCCACAATGTCTTCCTTGTGCAAATAAAGCATTAGAGGGGATTTTGAGTGGGGCTGAAGTGTGCGAGGCTATAGGGTTTCTAGGATGCCTGTCATAAAGCTAACAGAATTGCCCTCTTCCTTCTGTTTATAAAAGCAGCTTTCTTCATAATTAGAACACCTTGGAGGAATTTTACACAGGTCTGCCTAGGCTTCTTCCAAGGTGGTTATACATGAGTTAGTAGCATTTTTGGTCTCAGATAGGCATGTGAATAAGATGGGAAGTAGAAAGATGTTAAATACTGTGTTTTAGGTTTGGCAGTTAAACAGCATATTTCCAGGTCTTTGTTTGTGGTCCTTTTAGATTTTATAAGATCAAGTTGAAGATTTCTGAAAAGCAGAAATGCGCTTTGTGTAAAGTGACACAGAGGAAAGGGAGAGACACATGCAAGATTTATTAGGGCTGAGATTCTAAGCAATAGTGTCAAAGCTATTCTTTTCTATGTAGTTGTAAATGAGTCTGTTTTTAGTAAATTCAGAAGCCAGTAGGACCATTCCACACTGACAAAGAGCAAGCCGATTCACACAGTCATCTTTAACTCCATAGCTGTTAGAATAATCTTTATTCTGAGTGATAGAAGTGAATTGTAAAGAATTTTCTCTGTAAAGAACTCTGATGCTTTCAAGCAGGGGTCTCCAACCTCAGGGCTGCAGACTAGAACTGGTCCATGGCCTGTTAGGAACCAGGCTGCACAACAGGAGGTGAGTGGCTAGTGGGCTGGCAAGCATTACCGCCTGAGCTCCACCTCCTGTCAGATCAGTGGTGGCATCAGATTCTCATAGGAGTGCTAACCCTATTGTGAAATGTGCATGTGAGGGATCTAGGTTGCACACTCTTTACAAGAATCTAATGATAAAATTAATGCGCTTGAATCACTGAATCATCCTAAAACTATACCCCCACTCACATCTGTAGAAAAATTTTCTTCCATGAAACTGGTCCTTGGTGTAAAAAGGTTGGGGACTGCTGCTCTAAGATGACTGCTAAAGTCTTCAAGTGTATCCTGATAACATGGTGTAGTGTTAGATTTTGAAAGTCTCTAAAGACCCTTTCCTCCTTCTTGTTTATCCCTTGATTTGTTTGCTGCTGAGATGCTGTTCTATTAGAACAGGAGGCTGCCCCTCCATTATGAAGTATACATATGAAATCTTTCCTGAGAAGAGGAAATTCTAACTGGCCTGGAACCTGCTTTCTTCATACGGGAAATTCTTTTGAAGAGAGCATGATAGTCAGAATTAGCTGGGCATAGTTTTACCTTTCATCATTTCTCTTACTCAGACTTGATTTTTGATCCCTGGGAGGGCTGAGTGGCATAGGTCACCCATTTTTAAGGGAAGCCCATTTATAAGTTACATTTGTTTTCTATTTAGGAAGAAAAATAACACCCTCTGTTCTCTTTCCTAATATTCCTTATCATTTGCTTGTATGTTAAAATCTATTTATATTTGTCTTAATGATTGGCAGTTCTCAAACTCCATCTTAAATGAAGACTTCGAACTCAGAAACTGGATGATTTGTATAAAAAGAAGTCATTGTCTCTTTTTCATCCTACATGAGTTTTACCATCTTTGTTCCTTTCTTCTCAAGAATAGTGGCCACTAGTTGTCAAAGTTTGTCTTAAATTTTATCGGAACGGTAAGCATACATGTTTGATCTTCAAGTTGTAGGAAAGGTGATATAGCCATATGAATAAATTTAAAGACAAAATTATATTTGCTGAGGGTGATTTTTAAATAAATATGAGGCAACCATTGGTGTCAAGTGTAAACTTTCCATTTGATTGCTAGTTAAATCAGTCCACATCTAAACATGGAAACTTCTCTATTGCTATGGAGGAAGACATCTGTATTTGGTTTATTAAAACCTGCTGATGTCTCCAGAACTAAATTTGTTCCTATATAGGCCTCTGGGTAGCTGTAGCTAAAAAGCAGAAATGTATAGTTTTAGCTTGTCTGATTACCTGACTTCCAGCCCTGTACAGGTGTGCAGGAATAAATTAACATGAGCTACCTCTGATGAGCCACTGCATACATTAACAGCAGACGTGAAGATGTGAAAACATGTTACCTGCCTCCTGTTACCACCTTCTCAGCATAGCAGCATCATTTTTTTCCATCATTCCCTCTGTTTGGAAACTTATGCAGAACTTTTTCTAGAGAGGGCTTTTCAGTAAATACACACGATTTCACCAGGCAATACCTCTTAAGAAATGAGCCACTTAGCACCAATTCAAGACAACTATTAGTATATTTGCCCTAATATAATTAGCTGTCAAATACGATGTGGTAATCCCCTCCAAGTAAAAGAGGAGAACATTTTAAAGCATTAGCTGTTTCGTTTCATTGCCAATCAAACTACAAGTCTCCATGTCTGAAATTCTTTTATAATGTAAAGTTGTGCAGGCCCTCTGACTTCTAAATGTTAAGGAAGAGGTTTTTTTTTTTTCCTGCTACTCTATTTGGTTTCACAATAAAGCCAGATCAATAGACCTTTTGTACTTATCTCCATTACTTTCCGTCAGAAGCAAACACACAAAATAAATCCCCCTCCTGAGTAATTGCTAGTTGTGCCCTCCTCAAGCAAAACTTTGGTAGTAAGATAAACTTCAGTGTCATTGCTGTCCCTGGGGTTCTTTTTAG